ATGTGCATGTAATAAACAATTTCTAAAGACTTGAGGGCCTTTTGAGTGCTTTCGGACAAAGGCATTGTGACTTTAAAGTAGTAGTATTTTAGGATAAAAGTTCTGCATTAAATGTCTGATGAAGAGTTAAGCTATTTTTAAAAATAAGACCCGTGCAGATTTACCTTCATTTCCCACTGATTTGATCAAGTATTTTCTCCTTAAGTCTTGCTTGCCTCTTCCAGGGCTCTGTGCTTGGCATGGTAATTAGGGACTTGTGCTCTCAGTGATAGAGTGCTCCTAGCTCTTTCTTGAGCTATACAATAAGTCCTCACTTAGTCATCAGTAGGTTTTGTGACTTTAAGAGGAATGACACATAACAAAATTTTACCATAGACTGATGTAAATAAGAATTAAGTGTCTGTGGCATCTCATCAATGGTATAACAAAATGGTGGATGGAATGACATCATTTGCGGACCTGCTGCACTTAGTGCCGTGTATTTCCCCAGCAAAGTGTGTGGTTGTGCATTCTTAAGTGGTAGGATTTGGGGGGAGCAGTTCCATGAAAAAAGAATGTGATAGACAAAGCTGTGGAGGAGAATCAGCTGGGGTTGCTAGCTTTTAATTGAAGTTTAGTTGGAGGTTCAATGAGGTGAGACTGTTATGACAGATTTCAAAATGTAATGATAGCAGAATGGAGTGGGTTCATCAAAGTCGGAATAAATACAAGCAACGGCTCAGCAACTCAGCATGAAGCAACAGCCACAAACCCTCAAAAAATCCTGAGTAATTGAAATTCGCATTGTGCAACCCTCCTTCTCAGTGGGTACCTTTCCAAGGAAAGCAGTAACTTTATTGTGAAAAATATAAACACAAATTTGGAGATGTAAATTACATGCATGTTTTAATCTTGTTCATAAACACTGAGCATTTTAAAATGCAATTATAATCAAAGTACACAACTGTAGCTCAAGACAGATTTGAGAAAGACCTCTCAAGAAGGTGAAAGGCCCTCCAGTCCCCCTCACCCCCACACCCTGCCCACACAATCCTCCCCACCCGCTCCCCTTTATGTATCGTGGAAAAGAAGAGGTGGAATTCCGTCCTGTGGTTTCTGAACACACAGATCCTTGTCTCTCATTTGTTAATGTCACAGAAGAGATGGTACTTTTAACCCCTTCTCTCCACTTGCTCTCCTATCACTTCCCCCTTTGGTCTGTACACCTGATATCAGAGGTTAGTAAGAGACAAAGCAGCTCAGTGTTGGAAAATTTGCAACATGAAAAGGAAGGATGAAATTTACCCAGTTGCTATCCAGATTCTTTTATTTCCATACTTTAAGCATGACAGTGACCTCAAATTGAGCCAGTTCTAAGGGTTGAACTTAGAAAAATAGCATGAGATAGTAGACCATTCACTGAACTGGTGTTGAAGAAATGCATGTGGCTTCTGCCTTGACTGCTGCTTGCTGCCAGAATTTTGAACAAAGCCCTCCAGTTCTCTGGGCCACAGTTTACCCATCTGTTAAAGTCAGTGAGTGGCCTAAAATGAATTCTGAGTTTTCTTGTAACTCACATTTTCTATAATACTGTGCCTTATGCATTCATTCCAATCCAGATGGCATCCTGGAGATTTCAGACCCAATGTAGTACCCGTCTTAGGTCCCCAGGTGTCCTAGGAGTCAGAAATGTTACAGAGGAGGCCCAAGAGATTCCTCTGCCAAGGAGTTTCTATACTGTAATTTAAAGCCAGGATTTCCTGACACTGTTGTTAGCAAGTCCTCTGTCCTGGCCTCACCTCCTCAGCTTTGCCAGGGGCCCTCCTAGTACAGAATGACCTGATGTCACTCCAGACCATCAGAGCTCGTGGTCCGAGCTGCTGCTGAGATGACCCCATGTAGTGATCCTACATACTCCATCTGTGTTAACAAGGGAAGTAGTTAACAGGGCATCTACACTGCATTTCTCTCTGTGTGTTCTTTGTTCTTTTTCAGAGTAGGGTCATGGAAATTTATATAAATCTGTTTATGTAAATCACTTTAAATGGAATTAAAGTGTGATATTCAGGAGAAATTTAGCTTTAATTAATCAAACCCAAAGTTTAATTTGAAGAATCTTTTTAGTGTGTTTTGTATCTGGGTGAGTCCATTAGGAGAACATGAAGTTGAGTTTTCCTTAATTAATTGTTTTAAGGTGGAAAGTAGAAAGTACACTGAGAACTTAGCATTTGCTCTACTGGTATGTTATGTGGTAGGAAAGGGTTGAGACTTGGCAGTAGGGTGAGAGAAGTGGTTATGGGTTTGAAGAAATGTATTCCAGTTGAGACCACTCATTCCACCACTGAACTCCAAAGGAGATCATTTCAAAGGGGCATCAAGCCCTGGCCTGACAAAGAATTTACCAGCAGCATTTGTGATGGATGCCTCGGGCTGCCTTGGAAAGGAAGCAGATTTGGGATGGGTTCCAAAAAGAGCTCTCTGACCCAGTTTGACTGGAGTGTCAAAAGAGTGAAATTTCCAGAGCAGTCCTGGAATAAGCCATTGGGCGATGGGAGTGGGGACTCATTAGTGACATGTCACCACACTGTAACTCTCAGGAGAACAGAAGGAGAGGTGAATGTAGGAAGGGGTAAGGAAATATTACTTGTGATCCTTTCATCATATTGAACACAGTTTTTCTTCATTTATAAGGATAAATACGTATGTTGTGTTCATGCACTATTAGCAACAGTGGCTGTGCCTGACACATTTTGTTCTCAATCTTTTTTTAAAGGTTTCATTTATTTATTTTTAGAGAGAGGGGAGGGGAAGGAGAGAGAGAGAAACATCAGTCGGTCGCCTCCCACGTGCCCTTCTACCGGAGACCTGCCTGCACCCCAGGCACATGCCCTGATTAGAGCTGAACCGGCAGCCTGTCGGTTTGCAGGAGGATGCCCAAGCCATCGAGCCACCCAGTCAGGGCTTGTTATCGGTCTTTTAATAAGGACACTAGAATGGAGTAATCTGTATAAGATAATGTTTCTATTTTGACTATAACTTATAAAATAATACATAAGGAAATAAACTTTACCTAAAAATTTCCAAACTATTGGGTTAGAGACCTAAATATAAAAACTAAAACTGTAAAACTCTTAAAAGAAAAAGGGTAAATCTTAATAACCTTGGATTTGGCAGTGTTTTCTTAGACATGACACCAAAACCATAACAATAAAGGGAAAAAAACAGATAAATTGAACTTCATCAAAGTTAAAAATTCTGTACATCTATGAACACTATCAAAAGAGTTCAAAATACAGCCACAGAATGAAGAAAACATACAAATCATATAGCTGATAAAGGGTCTAGTATCCGGGATATATAAAGAACTCGTACAACAAAGCCAGAGTGGGGGGGAGGGGGGGATACAAACAACTCAATTTCAAAAATTAGCAAAGGACATTTTTCCAAAGAAGCAGCAAATGGCCAACATGTACATGAAGAGATGCTCAACATCATTTCATTAGTCATCAGGAAAATACAGATCAAAACCACAGCGAGATGCTACTTCACACCCACTGGAATGGCTACTGTCAAAAACAGAACTGAAAAATAAGTGTTGATGAGGATGTGGGGTAGTTAGGACCTTCAGACAGTGCTTGTGCAGATCTGAAATGGTTGATACAGCCAGTGTGGAAAGCATTTTGGCGGTTCCTTAAAACGCTAAGCATGGAATTGCCATATGACCCACCAATTCAGCTTCTAGTTATATACCCAGAAGAACTGAAAACAAGTGTTCAAGCAAACGTTCATAGTTGCACACAAATGTTCATAGAAATGCTATCACAAGAGCCAAAGTGGGAACAACCAAAATGTCCATCAGCTGATGAACAGATAAACAAAGTGTGGTATACCCATACAATGGAATATTATGCAGCCACCAAAAGGATTGAAGTACTGCTCATTGTGTGACATGGATGAATCTTGAAAGCATTATCCTAAGTAATACCAGCTAGACGTAAAGGCCACATATTGTATGATTCTATTTATATGAAAAGTTCAGAATAAAAAAAGTTCATAGTGAGAGAAAGTATATTAATGGTTACCAGCAGCTGAGGAAAAGGGAGGGAAGGAGAGTTACTGCTTGATGGGCATGGAGTCTCCATTCAGGGTGAGGAAATCTTAGGATGTCATGCTGAATTGTGGTCAGTACCATTGAATTAAAAGAAGAGAACTGTATCTCCCTGAAAGCATAGTAGGACAGTAGGCATGTCTACCTACTATGTAGAAGTGCTATTTTCATGTCTGCACAAAACCATTTCCTGCTTTTTGGGCTGTGTCACCAGTAGTTACCACACATCACTGGAGCTTAAAATGCTTGCCAGAGTCATCTGTACCCAAAGCTACCATTCCTCAGAGCCCTTAACATCTCCACAGGACAGGGCAGTAAGGGTCATGGAACAAGGATCTCTGGAGTGTGATACCCAGTGTGACCTGCAGATATTGAGAGGATGTTTCTCCTTTGGTCTTGTGGGTTTGGCCCATCAAACCAATAAATCTAGGTTTTAAGGGCAGTGGAACTATGAGACTTTTTACTTAAGTCGTAAAACCCTTGCATTTGGCAAGGCCATCCTCAGTATTTGAAGGGTGAACCGGATCTACTTTGCATTGGAGGCCATGTGTCCATGCTTGATAGAGCCCAAGGCAAAGAAAGTTCGTATGTGCAAGTCATATGCACGTCCTGCACTGATACTCCTAGCATCCCAACTGGCTTAGAGTCAGGGTGGTTGGGTGGCCCAGCGCTGAGCTCCAGGGCATGTCCGGCGTTCTTGGCAGGCTTGTCCCTGCAGTGCACAGTGCGGGGAGGGACAGCGGTCTTACTGTTGTGGGAGCTACAGGGAAGGAGCTTATCAGTATGTCCCAGTTTAGGCGTTTCCCTGAATCCAAGGTCTATTAACTTTGGAAGCTTATGTGTCATCTTTTCTTTGTAACCACTGTCAAATCTAGACCGTCAGGCTTATTATTATTTTTTCCTTTGCTTTCAGGAGAGTAGATCTGGAGAAACCAACATCTGTGTGGAAGAAATAATTCGGGTAAGAATATTCCTTTACAAATCTTTTCAAGTGGTTGGGCACAGATTCCAAACAGAAAGGAGTCATGTGGCTGCATTGTCTGAGGGAACCTGTTGTTTGTTGTTTGGCATTGACCTTTTCTGAGGGTAGTCACTTTAGTTGCCTAAATGACGCTTTACAAAACCACAGCACTTTCTGATATCTGGGAGCTACACCTCAGTCTGGTGCCTCTGCTTGGGCTGAGGTGACACTGCATTACGATGATCAGCTGGAAATCAGAAGAACAGCATTGAGGCGAAGTACATGATTGTGCTCACATTTGGATGCCTCCATTAATCACTCCACTGTTTAGAAGCATCTTTTAATTGTTTGTACTTTCCAGTCAGGCAGGGTTGCCTTGTTAGTTTTTTTCAAAACTTAATTAGAATCAGGAGCACTCTGACAAAGAGGTGTCTCAGAGTCTGGAGATTTATTTCTATATTGTTTTGCATGTTATTACTCTGTGCTACTCTTGTGAACCTGCCCTTGTCATCAATGTCATTGTGAGTGGATGCCCTCCATCAGCCATTTCACACCCAGATTCACTTAGGTTGGGCTGTTGCACCAAATTAGTGCTTTCCTAAGAATCCAAACTTATAATCAGGATGTATAATCTTCATCCCATATTTTTCCCCACTCAAATTTTTCAGGAGCATAACCTAGTAATGTACAGTTCTCAGAAAGCTGACACCACACTCAGCAAAACACCAAGACAAATTAAACCAGGTGGTATGGCAATCCCCTATAAAGAAAAAAAAAACTTTATTTGAATATGCTTCCAAGTTTTGGGCATCTTACACACATTTTCTTGAATCTCTACTGCATTACAGTAATATAATTATTTGGTTAAAATTTTACACAAACTATCTAATTTTTTCCAGGGGTAGAGTATTTCTTTTTCTTCCTAAAGTCTTATGTCATAAAAAAAACTTTTAAGTCCAATTAAGCAAAATAATTAATTAAAGTTTGATTTGTTGAATTAATACTGATTTTTGTTTTTCTGGCAGAGATTTATATAGAAAACAATTGGGTAAATTCAAAAGTCAAAAAAGTCAAAGTGGGTAGATTCTTTTCTAGCATTTAAGTATATGTTAAATAAAACACGCATTGTATTTTATATCTATGTTTTCTCTATCCTGGAGTTTTGTTTCAGATCACAGAACCGATAGTGTAAGATACTGATATACTCTTTCTGTGTCAACACACTTTCTTGTTTGAGTCCAGATATTCATTGTTTAGGCCATTTTCCTTTGATTGGTTATGGTGTTTACATCTGCAAAATAATAATACCACAACACAGCAATCCTCTCTGTGGTGTTGCTATTTTAGAAAACTCTCTCTACCCTTCATCCCTTCTAATCTTCTCTGAGGATATAGAAGAAATCTGTCGTTTGACCTTTCTTCTCTATACTTCAAACAGAGCTTAAAGTTTGAGTAGGAGCTTGAGTAATTCACAGACCAAAAGGTTATAGTTTAAGTAATGTAAAATGCACCTAGGATAAAACTGAATGCTACAGCCAAGGATTTAAAGCATTTTTTTCTTCTTAAGAGAGCTAATGCGAGCCTCATGCTCCTTTACCCCTTCCTACATTCCCATGATACTGACCCCCTAGTACATCACGCCACTGGTCTGCCACTGGCATGGCCCGCCTCGATTCAGGCGTGGAACAGAAGGAAAAGCCTGGACCGACCAGATAATTGATTTATATGCATAAGCAAGGTTAAGGGTAGTGGAGATGTGGAGATGATGACTTCAATAGCAGACACCTGAGCTCTCTGTAAGTTCCACTCTTCCTAGAGCCCATGAGGTGTGGTCCTGGATGGGAGGTACCAGAGAGTTGGAGGAAACAGAGGTGTTGGTGGTGCTAGTACTGTGTAGGTGAGCCTTTTCCTCTCCCCTTACCTGTCAGCCTAAGGTAGTAAAGTAGCTCCTAGAAGACTGTGTCAGCGTTCCTGTTTTCCTTGGACTGTTTTCTGACTGTCCCCTGCCTCACTCATACCAGTCATTCTCCAGGATCAACTTCCCCTCTTATCCTAAGCACATCCTCTCCTCCAAATGCAAGCACAGGGCTCCTTCTCATTCACAGCCTATTGTATTTTTGTCGTTTGTCTATTACACATCAGTGTTGCTCCTACATTGTGTCCCCAGTGTGCAAAATTTATAATTCATGATTTTGTTGCATAAATAAATTAATGAGTGATTGATTGAAAAACAAACCCTCTACAGAAGAAAGATGAGTATCATTGTGACAGCTCGCAGACATTCTTTTTGCTCTCCGTCATGGACGTGATGCACCGGCCTTTTTAGTGCTGGGTTCCCATGGCCGATCTCTGTGGAGCCCAGTTTTCCATATCAGTTTCTCTCCCCTGATGATCCAGGGTCACCAGAGGTACTTGTTACTTGCAGCCATCATGTGTAAATGATGGTTCCCTTTTGTCATGGAGTGAGAGCAGGGTCATGAAAACATGCCTTAAAATGATAAAAATTGAGGTGCTCATTTGACATGTATTAACATGCCCTTTCCACATGGGAGCCACTGGGAGAACAGTGGTGGGCCAAACAGACATGCCTCCTTGCCCTCTTCAAACCAACAAAAGATATAGCTACTAAGTTTTTAAAAATTCTGTAAACAAATGTAAAATGTTCATTTTGATGAATACTTAGGGTTTTATGGGAGCTTACTTACTATAGGGTGCACGACCCAGTTTTGGGTCAGGAACAGCCTCCCTGAGGAAACGACATTTGAACTGATCATTGGAGAATGACTAGGAAATCAGCCTAAGAAGAATGGTGAGGGTTCCAAGCAGAGGAAATGCAAGAGCTTGGCTTGTTAGAGACCCAGAAAGGCTGAAGAAGGCTAGAGTGGCTAGAGAGCAGGTGGGTAAAGCTAGATGGGGGAAGCCAAATATGTGGTACCTTCTCGGCCATGTTCAGAGTCCCAGAAGCACAGGGAACCAGTGAAGGATGTGAGCAGAGAGGGTGTGATCAGACTGGCAGTTTAAATGCACTAGTGTGGCTGCTACAGAGAATGGATTGAGGGGAAGAGGGAAGAAGAAAAGGAATGGGAGGCTGCTGCCAATGTCCAGGTGGGAGATGCTTTGTGGGATACTCACAAACATGGGACATGGAGGGAGCTGCTGGTTTTGAGGGTAGAGAGAAAATCACAAATTATTTTTAGACACGTTGAGTTTGAAGTACCTTTTGAGACATTCCAGTAACATGGAGAATGTAAATGAACATACATGGGTTTAGAACTCAGAACAGAGGTCTGAGCTGTAGACCAACATTTTGGATTAATTGGCATATTGGTAATAAAACCATAGAAATGAGTGAATTTGCCTGGAGAGAGACTAGAGACCAAGAAGCAATCAGCATCTAAATTCCCACATTCGAAGGTCAGGGAAAGGAAGATTTAGTGGCAAATGAAGGAGAGAGGGAGTGGCCAGAGACACTGAGGGAAAATCGAGACAGTGAAAAGTCATAGAATCCACGGAAAGGGAATTTCAAGCCCAACAGTGCTCAGAATTTCCAAGCAGACAAGAGAGACAAGGATGGAAAACCACCCAATGGATTGGACAGATGACATAAAGGTCATTGGTGACTTACTTGGGTGCTGGTTCTATGGAGAGATTGGACGGAATCCAAGCCTGACAAAAGGGTATCAGTGGATTCAGAGACTTCTGGTGAGGGAAGGCCATAGTTTCCATTCAGATCCTTTTTCATTTGCAGTAAATCTTACATACAGTACCAACTACCAAATGACGAAGAGCTAACATTTATGGAGTGTGAGACATAAGTTTCTTGTAGGTGTTAACTCATTGAACTGTCACAGCAGCCCAGATGGAGGTGCTGTTAACATCCCCATTTCACAGATGAAGAAACTGAGGCAAGAAGTTAAACACAGCCTGCCCAAGATCACAGAGTTAGTAAATGGTAGAGCTGAGATTTTAACTGGCACCATCTGGCACCAGCATCCTCTCTATTTCTTAACAACTATGGGGTTTTATTAAATCAAGAAGCAACATTCCCCCTCAGCCACCCACCCCACTCCCTGGTTCATTGATGAAACCACTCAGGTATTTTGCTGTGAATGGGAGGTTTTCCATTCTTACGTGTTTATGAAGTTCAGAAGTGCTAGCTCCAGCATTTATGCACTTGAGCTCACAAAGGTTTTATGGCCAATGTTACCAACCTTATTTTTAAACTTCTTTTTTTCTCCCCCCTCTTGTTTTTTGCTGAGGTGACTGTTTTCAAGTCATTTAAATATTACATTATGTTCTAAAGTGTACTTATTTTTTATTCTTAGAGAATTTTAATCCTGGAACTTAATAAATTTGTGTATTATTGCAAAATTCACTTAACCGAGGGAAAAATTATAACTGAGTTCTATGAAGATGTGTGATAAGGGCTGGAAACCCTCATGGCTGACATATGTTTATAACAGACAGCTTTCTAAGTTATACAGTATTTCACCCCTAAGGGCTCCAGTTCTATAGTACTTAGGTGCTTTTTCGTAGCATTATCCATTAACATAGAATGGCATTAACATTTGTTCAAATAAAATCCACTTACAACTTAATGGGGTTGTTCAGGGCTGCATCCTAGGATGCACAGATTTTATGCAAGAGAGGTTTAGATGGCAGTTGTGGAGAAGCAGACTCTCACAACGAGTGAGCCTTTGTAGTAAGAGACCAGTGTTGGAGATTCCGGTTCGGATTTAAGGGATGAATTTAGAGACAATTTCAGTGCAACATCTGAGCGGATTACCTGTTTGGCTTTCATCTTTAGTCATTAATGCTAGAGTCCTGTGAAATATTTACAGGGAATATCTACATAGATTTGCATTTCTGTTTATACGAAGCAGGTAACTGGTAGTTGTGTAAATTCTGGAGACCCAAACCAATCTTCTGACACAGTAGTTGAACACACTTCCAACAAATAAAGGGAACTCCTTTTCCCAGGTTTTCTAGAAGCAAAGATT